TAAATTAAGGATTTTCTAATGTTCCTCTTCAAATACAAAGCAACGGCTCTCATTGGTTTTGTACACATTTTCTAACCGAGGACTCAATTTGGTTCCTATCCTTGATTCATCCATGATGTTGCGCCTGTGTTTCCTCAATTTACACCATAAATAAAGGCATGTACATGTATACATGTACACGGCAGTGGAAAGAGAACAATTTGAAACCTAATTAATGACAGAATGTTATTTCCTGATTTACAAACTTAAAACTACCGGTACAACTGTTCGCACATACATGTAAATGCATGTTCAGCGGGGGTTTTCTAGGCCAAAAAAAAAAAAAAAAAAAAAAAAGTTCTGCTTCTGGTTACACTACCTATTTTGACAGCTCCCTAATTTTTTTTTTTTTGGGGGGAGAATTAGGAAAAAGCCTGAAAACCATCAATTAATACCTTTTACCCTTGATTACACGCAGACATCTCCATATGATCGTACCAAAATAAAATTGTCACAAAAAAAATCCCCTATCTACCTACCCCATTTTCAAATGCCATGTATGGTACCAGTAATCGGAGCAGAACTATTTTTTATTTGCCTTATGTACAGTGTGTACAGTTTGTACATACATAGTACGCATACTTTTTTCTTTGAGAATGAATTTGTTTTTCAAGTACATGTATGTACTTCCGTTAACAATTATTTTACACAATTACAGTGCACTCATTGTTAACTTCACGGTCATACATGTCCTGAATTCTTAGAAAACCAATAGGGTATGTAATAAAAGTTTCTGTTTTGATTTGCATCACCCTGAAGAATAAATATCCGTTGAGTTTTACAGTTTACACATGGATTCACACATGAGTCATGTGTTGCGAATTTTTGTTGGCTTTTTATTGTGTAAGTAACAATAGAGAGTTGATTCTTACTCAAATGTGGTGAAAGCCTAATAATAACTTGTCAAAGCGTGTTTTGTTGGTTTCTTACATTTACAAGATGGGTTTCGTTTCATGTAACAAAGATTGTTGTTGTATTTTCAATTACCTGCATAAAAACGAATTACATGTTGCAAACGAAGTAAAAACACTATTGTTGGTGATCTTTGGCATTTGAGGATTTAATAAATCTGAGCTGGTATACATGTGAAGGTCAAAACACGATCGCATTCTGTTCATATTTTTGCATAAATCTATTTGTACAAAAATTATGAAAACTAAAATCAACCCACATTTTAATATTCCCAGTTTTGAACTACATGTAAGTTCCGGTACTTCCCCCATGCATCGCTTCCAACACATTGGGAGTGGGGACCAGTAATTTAGCACTGCTTCCCCTCAAAGCATACATTGCATTGGTACATAGCACAGGACACATGCTGCTCTTTTTGCCACCTTCACTTCACACCTGGGCCATTTAGGGACAGATGTTTAATGCATGCATCATACCCCATCATAAAACGTCATCAATAGAAGAACAATCCAGGAAAATAACCATTATCAGAACAATCTACATGTAACAAAAATGGTACCTTGGTTCAAGATTTATGGAAGTAAAAATTCAGTGAAAACTGAGTCAATTCAGTCAATAGTTGACTTGCATATACCGTAGATGTGTATATTTAATTTGTGTGAGTGTACCGGCACCCGAGGATATCCAACACATTTCTTGCTTACAGTTACACATACCGCTGTGTATTTTCTCGTTCTATAAACCATCTTGAAATGGACATTGCATCAACATGTGGTATGTTTTGTCAATGCAAGAGCCACTCGTCTCAATGTTTTCTGTTCAAGGTGGAGGTTGGAGTAGCTTGATACTTAATGATAGAAAAATTGGCGATTGCAAAGTTACGGTCACAGGACCCATCCTTAAGAAAAGCAAATCAATTTTTAGGTAATTGGACTTGGTTTTTAAACCAACGTTTATACTAGTTCTGAGTTGAAAACCAACAAAGTTATTTAAAGAGGGGAAGGATATGATTTTTTGGGACCAGTTAATGCCGGAGGACGTGTGAACACGATCTGGCAATGTATATTCGTACCGGTAGGGGTGGGTGGGTGACTGGTTCCATCATCAAGCTTTCCCCTATTCTCTGGAGGTAGATGGGTACATACCGGTACACGTCAGTGGTTCGTAACCACTGGTTCCTAATGCTTTTATACACAACATGTGTTGAACTTGAACTTGGCTACTGTACACTCCGTGGCAGGCCTCGGAGTGTTGCAAACTATGAAGTTACGGTGAGTATGAGGACATCGCACAAATGACCCTCATGAGTCCTAACTTGTGGTGTTTGACTGGATTTAAAACTGGTCTTTTCTTTTTTTTTAAATGGTAAATGCGGCCGAAAAATAATCTTGTTATCAAGTGGTTGGGTCATTTTGGAAGTGAAAGGGCAATGCCAACAACAAAACACACAAAAAATGCATTACATCAACTACCTGTAGATCAAATCAGTAAGAACATTTCATTAAAAAAATTCAAAATTACAAAACAAAAGTCGTTAAAATAAATTTAAAAAAATGATTGCTCATTAAAGTTAAAGGCTGCAGAAGTCAATTGCTGTAAAAACCTACCGGTACCCCAGTCAAGCCAATAAGATATCATGTACATTTGACATGTAAATCATCCATCTGTGTGTGTACATAATGTACACACATACTGGTACATTGTAATGAGGAGTTTAACATTTACAACACAACAGGTGTTGTGTGTACACAAGTGCATATCTTCACATCCATAACATGTTGTAGAACTTATACCGTAGTTACATAATTAATATAATTTTACACATGAATGGCATGGATGCAAACAAGATTAGTGAATAAGAGATGCAGATTTTACTTGTATTGAAACAATTTACATACGTAATCAGAGGCTACCGGTCATGCCGGTAGGTTTCAAAATAGGCCCCAACATTGTACAACTAGTACAGTGGAACACTTCAGTACTCACCAATCTAAATGTTTGAAATGATCTCTTCTCAGAACTATATTCCAACGGCCACCATTTTGACCAGCATATATCCAAAAAACACGTAACCGTGCATTGTACAACTGGGAACAATACCAACGTGTGCGCACAATGACATGTATAACTGTCCCATCACAGCCTACAGAAGTGGCTCGAAAATGTATTCATCTGTGGCATGCAGCAACAGGCAGTCCCATACAGTCCTATTCATACCTACAGTTCCGCCTTCAATATGTACACACACTCTTCTGCAGTGAAAATCAGTGCCCCAACATCAGCAGTTGGCAGTAGGTGACACACTGGCCCACACTCTTTTCACCCTCCCTAACCACGGAGTGCAATGGGAGGCAGCCATCCAAGTGTCTGACCCCCTTTGCACACTAACATTCCTGGCATTCTTGACCTCTTGGGTGATACCATTCCACAAAGAGGTTGCACACAATGGCTCTCTCGGTCGGTCGATGAGTAAACACCGAGGGGCACTGAACCGTGATGTGGGAGAAAAGTGGTTTTGGGAGGTGAGGCAGTGTTTTGGGACACTGCCAAATTGTGCCCATTGTTGACGCTGGGTGAAGGGATGGTTTTTGGCTGAGTGAAGCATGAGTGAAGTAACAGGATCAAACGTGAAGGTTATGTGTATTTGTATAGAGCTGATTTCCATTGTATTTGTTGAAAAATAACAACAGGAACTTTGCACTTTCACTTTCAAAACTGGATGCAAAGTTGACAAAATTATACTAAGTAACACTGGAATCATTTATACATGTACACTTACAAATACATGTACAGTAAGTTGCATCAACAACACACTACAGTCCATGTATTATTGACATGGGCAACATTTTGGCAAAATATGCAAAAAAGGGTGCGTACAGTCACATCATACAAATGCACCCAGCAGTTGACTTGATTTTCAGTATAAACAAGAACAAAAAAGACAATTTGCCAAGGGGTGTTAATCATAAAATGACACCTGTCAAAATAGCTTACATCTGTACAGTTCGTTACAACAAGCAGGGTCCCAAGTTTCATTTTTTTTTTAGGCTTGTCATATACCGTATCACTCCGTTACAGGAGGTCTAGCTTTAATCCCTGGCTAAGCTAGCAATTTCCCCCCTCGGTATCTTGACAATCTTGACGTATTCCTCCCCTTGGTATCTGGAAACAAACTGGCCAGGGACTGGTAGCTGCTAAGTTTTAGATGGTGCACTTCCTTTAGGATGCAGATTATGTCCTGAACTTCATTTTTAAGCAACAATTTTTCAATTTTTAAAGGGAGGGGAGGAACAAAAATAATCCATTTCTTTTTTCTGAAAAAAAATATGAATGGATCTCTTCCTTGCCAGATTTCCTCTCTTATCTGATCCTTGATGAATATATCAGATTGAATATATATTTCATGACTCATAATAAAGTTTAATACTCTATTAAAATTCTAAATATTCCCCAAAGTACATGTACGTGACATCCCGGGGTAAAGTTCACACGTACCCCCTGCCCTGCAAGCAGGGTGCTGGGAAGGGCTAATTTTTGGTCATTTTTTTAGTCTCACGATTTGACCATGGTGATATTGGGTATGTGGCCTATTTTCGAATAGTAAAATAGGGGTGTAAATGGCGCCACCAACATCAAAATAGTCCGTCCCCAAAACAAATTTATATAAAAAAAACCAATTTTTTTTTTCGTGGCCAAAAAATTTCGGCAATTTTTTTTTTAATCCAAATTTCAAAAAAAAATTGGAAAAAAAATTGTGAGGCCCCCCCCCCAACCAAATTCTGGGTGCACCACTGACAGCTACCACACGCTATGCATGACAAACACGTGTAGCCAGTTTGTGTGCTGCATTCTACGTCACAGGTCGCGCAAAAGAGATCAGGCCTTTTCAGCGTCCCGTTTGTAGGGTGAGGGGTACGAGCAAAGGGCTAAAGTTGCATGGACAATTTTGGTCATTCAACTGTTTTTCCTAATGTGGTCAATAGAGGGCGCTTATTGCAGGTTACTGATTGGCACATTGGAGGTTGTAAAAATTCTTTAAAAACCCTTACCTCCAGAAAGTCCCATTCTTCTCCTGACCCGCAGTGAAATTGTCCGCGACCGTACACACTTCAAAGAAAGAAACACAAGGAATATTTGGAAAATGACCATACATGTATATGCAAATATGATACAATAGTTTTGGATTTCTTGCACGGAAGCAACTTTGTGAAATTGCCCCCCTCCCCTTTTTTAAATGAGATATCACCACCATGTGTGTTACTTTTTTGATGTGGCCTTTTGATTGGGGGGGGGGGGGGGAGCAAGGGCGGATCCAGGGGGGGGCCAAAGGGGGCCATGGCCCCCCCCCCCCCCAAAACGAAACCAATTTTTTTTTTTTTTCATGACATCGCAATAAAGGCAGGCAATGAGTACACCACCATCTTTTCCTCAAAAAAAACATTGGTTAGAGTGGTCAGAAATTGCCTCAGATCGCACCACAGAGCATCTAGAATCCAACATTTTTTCGGGGCCCTTAAGCGGGCCCCGAACCCCACGCCATAATTTTTGGGACCCACTTTTTGGGGGGACCACAAATTTTTTTGGCCCCCCAAAAAATTGTGTTCTGGATCCGCCCTTGGGGGGGGGGGGGGGGGCGGGGCGGCGCTACTGTAGGTACTGGGTGTGTATAGGATAGAAGGAGATTCTGCCTCCCGCCACCCCCTTCCAAAGCTGTGCGATGGAACAAAAAATCCCTAAAATTTTAAGACAGACTCATCTTGTTCAATCTGAAATGTTCTTGAGAAATAACCTTGGGGAAAAAATTAATCTTTTCATAAAATTTATCTCCACAAACATATGAAATGCATTCTTTCCATTAAAAAAAAAGTGGGGTTAATGGCAATTAAACCCCCTTTAGATACGGTAGTTTTAGTGAATAAAACAATTTAAACGTAATTTTCTATGACATTTGAACAACAGTAGGAAAGACATAGACAAACAAAAAATAAACAAAACCTTACCTGATGAATGTGGTTGATGACTTCCGAGTGTGAAGCATTATGAAGGGACTTGCCATTGACTTCTAGAATCTCATCTCCAATATCAAGATCAGATCGATCAGCCGGGGAACCTGAATCACAGAAATCACAAAGACAAAAATGGACAAATAACCATTAGATATATTTAAGTAAAAACACAAGACAGGCCTAGTGAAAGTGGTCACAGAGTGCACCAACTTCTAATCGATCTGAATTCACTGGAAGTCTTTTCATGTATCTGGTGTTGACAACGGGCAGATTTAGCCAATCCGTTGGAATTATGGGTCATCTACAATGTATGTCAGACTTCTGGGCGAAGGTGAGACATATAGCAAGTCTAATTCACAAGCGACAGTCAGTCAGTCAGTCAGTGAGTCAGTCAGATGCAAAGATGACTTTAGGACTGCCCCTCTGTCTGCAAATTAAATCCGACGATTTCAAAATCATTGTGCAAACATACTGGTTTCCATTAATAAACAAACTGAAATTCATTACTTAGAATACGTTCACGAGTCATATTCTAAAAGCGATTTTATCCTTCAGGATTTTTTCCCCAAAGTAAAGAAGTTTTCTGAATTGATCAAAATCCAATGCTGTGCACACATAAATCACACATTTTGTGTGCTTGGAAACTAAATTAGTAGTAGACTCTTTCATGCGAGGGACGTACACATGCATTATGAGTAAAAAAAATCAGTCTCCGTGTTGGACCATTCCGTGTTAGAAAGACTCCCAACAGTCACTTCAAATCATTGGCTCAATGATTTCCTGCAGGAATTCCACAAAACAGGACCCAAAATAACAGAGGACAATGGTCATCCTGACAGTAATGTAAACATGGACAATTGTGATCGTGAATAAATCACTTGCATCACCAAATATATAAACCCTTTTTAAATTCAACTGCAAACATCTGTTACATACCGGTACATGTATGTATGTAGAATAAAATAATACACTCTGGATTGTCAACAGAGGGCGCTGTTACACTTCAGCAGTGTTTTCACTATGTCCACATGTCATGTACAATACTTGCACGTACCGGGACAGGCTGTACACAACAGATGGGTCAACTGGAAAGCTGCTTGTTTCAGATATATTCATCATCACAAAGTCAAGGTTTTTTTTAATGCTTTTGAATGTTTTAGTCCGTGTTCTCACATACCAGTACTCTGGTCTGGAAGGATAATTCTGCCAATATTGCTGGCACGTATCATGGAGGCTCCATGCACGTACGGTATATAGGCTACACGCAACGGTAGACAGCTTACATACCCCCTCATTGAGTCACATTGTATAATCCCATTCTCAGGGTCGTTTGAATAGAATTACTTCTCGTCATGCCATTGTAACCCGAGCATGACGGAACATCGCTATACCCCAAAAAAATTCCATGTGACAACAACTGCAATTATCTCTTATTTACATTGTACAAAAATGACCTTGAGAATCACTTAATACCACAGGTACTGAATGCACGAGACACCATATTTGAAGTGATGCAGGCAAGTGAAGAGAATTTTCATCTAAATTAGTGCTCCTATAAAAGCACAAGATAAAATCCCCCTAAAAGCAAACTTAATTTAATTTTTTTTTCATTTGAAACGATTATCAAGTCTCTCCAACTAATGCTCAGATTATAGACTCGGATTTGGGTGGGAACCAAACCCACAGCCTCCTGCTGTAGTGCAAACGTTGTCGCAGCACTTGACCGACGAGGCTGTCGGGGTCAGCAGTCTCACCTGGGTAAGCTTGTTCAGGGGTGAGAGTGACCACTGATAAAAATAGTTGAAAACAGCTGAAAAAGGTGTAAAAAAGCTGAACTTTGGAAATCTCCTATAGATACTTTTGTACACAGCAAGTGAGGGAAAAAGCTGAAAAGAGCTGAAATCAAAAGGAGAAAAAAAGCTGAAATCAGCTTTAAAGCTGAGATTTCACACCCCTGCAAGTTGTAAACGGTTTCTCCCCAGCCCTTGGACAAAACTGGGTGTGTAGGTTTTAAAGAAATTCCATTCTACAAATCATGATGTTATAAAACAAACAAACTAACAAAGTCCCAGAGTTGTAATGACTCGAGTCAATGACTCGACTTGAGTCACAATTTTTGGTGACTCGACTCGACTTGAGTCCCTAAGGGTACATGACTCGACTCGACTCGAGTCCCTCATCAGAAGACTCGACTCGAGCGAAGGCTAATAAGACTCGAGTCCCAAAAATAAAAGCACAACTTTGCGAAAAGTATTTGCAATGACTTACGTGTCACATACTCCCACCTCATGATTCTAGAACGCACAAAATACTATTCAGGAACCAGATTTTTAAAAACATTTTCTAATTCGCTGTTTCATCATTGGCTTTGGGCGATTTCTTATAAAGCTCTTGGATTCAAACGCTGGCTAAACTTATGGCCTCCTTTTATAAATTTTGGTATACATATACATGTACATGTAGTGTTCAAATATTTGTGACTCGAATTGACTCGAGCTAATTCTTTGACTCGACTCGACTCGACCTTTCGACCTAATGACTCGACTCGACTCGAGTCACTTCTTTAAAATGACTCGACTCGAGTCACTTCTTTAAAATGACTCGACTCAACTCGAGTCGCAAGAATAAGTGACTCGTTACAACTCTGCAAAGTCCACATGAATGTCAAAGTGGAGAATCACCCTCAAACGATCACCAATGAACAATACAAAATTCACACACAGACTTTAATGTAATTTGGTAGACCCGTGGGAATTACAGTACTCACTGTGCATGGCATGCCGGTCAATGAGGAAATGAATAGACACGCCCCCTCCCTGCCCCTCCCCCATCCCCCAATGTGTCATCATGTGCCCCCTCTCTACTAACAGCATGTTGATTGGTCCTAATTAAATCAGGTTCTTAGAATTAGTTCCAGACTCCATGCTGAAAAACAATTAAAGAACTACAAAATGTAACAAAATTAGTTTACAATGTAACCAGGAATCAATTACAGGTAGATGCTCTTATAATTGGCCTCAAGGCTAATGGATTGTATTGCATTCAAAACATAAACTAATTGTATGCAGCCCAACAAATTTATGCCATTACCGAGTACACATGTAGGTACATGTACGTGTGTACAGGTACAGTACATAAATACTGGTAGACTAAGCCTTGGAGCCTTGCAGGATATTAAACAAATTAAGGGGATATAGACTTAAATCTGTTTTTTTAAGGGGATAAAACAAAATGATTATGGCAGGTGTTTTGGGTGACTTGTATTAAGATAATTTCCGCTGGCACTTTCCAGGGCCTCATGTACATACATGTATATATGCTGTGAGATCATTCATGACACTGTTCTGTACCGGTATGTGTACGGTACATGAATGTCAATTTCTTAACATTTTGATAATTCTGTGACTCTTGTTTCAACTACCGTATTAGACATGGAATTTTGTGAAAATCCATCTTGGCTTTTATTTGAGATTTTTCATCCCACCTTTCAAGATGTAAAGTCATCATCAGGGAGGGTTACATAATCCCCAAAATATATCGTGTAGCGGTCCGACTATAGAGCTTGAGGACCGTTCCGACGATCCTCCTGACCCTACATGTAGATGCCTCCAGCTGGAAGTCTACCGGTATGCCACTGGTCACTGATTCCCCCTTCCCGATGAACGGCAAATCGTGAACGTGGGATGTGATAACTCTATTTTGAGGAAGTTTACCCCCAGGCACCACAGAAGACCAGAGACAAACAACACTCTCACACTCACCCTACTACGTACGCTCACTCAATCGTAGGACAATAAGAATTCACAGTGGCCCATATAACATTAAACAGTGGTTTATATAGGCCCCCTCTCCCCCCCCCCCCCCCCCCCTTAACAGCCGACTCCTAGATAATCTTATATTTGCGCTGTTAATCTAACTCAAACTTAGCCAGAAGTTTGGCTGCTTCAAGGCTGGTTCATACTTCATGCGAAGGTGATGCGAATTTGACGTCACCAAGCATTCGCTGCGAAATTCGCCAGAGTTGAAATGTGTTCAACTTACATGTGTGTGATGTCACCAACTTCAATGCCTATTCAGATTCAGCATGTCGTGGCCCAAGTAAAATTTACACCCTTTCACGTAATAGATTGTATTTCTTGAGAAATAGTCAGGCTTAATGTAATATATAATTTCATTGAAGAAAAAAAGACATGAAACTGAGTTGTACTTTTTTGTTTTCTGAATGTTGCACTTTTTGGGGGCACACTCTGTTCATGTAGTGTATTGTGTAGCTGCACATCAGCCGGAAAAACAAGATGGTGATTGATGGTCAAGATATCCACACTACTGTCTTTTGCCATTGTCCTGGGGTTAAGTGGTAAAAAGCCTGAAAGTCGCAACTGATTTAGTCCTGATTTAGTCTGAGAACGCATGAGCAACAAATCTTGAGAAGAGACATCGTTTGTGTTCAGCACAAGCAGACACCAAAATGACCAAGAGTATCAGAAGTGAAGTATTAATTCAAAATTTGTAAGGTTAGGCCCTATTATTCCAAAACTAAACTTGGGCAGATCTGTTTTTCATTGTGGTGTCTCAATCAAAAGAATATAACTAGAAATATAGTAATTTAAAATAAAAATCTTTTTGGGGATTATACCGTACTTAAAATAGCTTCGAAGTTCATTTTAAAAATATGCTTATAAGAACTTGAAGTAAGAAGGATGGAAGATCAGGGATGCCAGTGGGTTTTTGCTCCAGGGCCTGAACAATTGGACATTTGAAAGATGGCAATCATGCACCAAACGAACGCAACACACCATTGACTCACTGCAACACCACTACACATGTTGATGGAGGACAACAACAATTAAACGCACTCTCCTGGTAAATGTGACATATAAATTGCATATAAATGAACTGCGTGCATGTTAAACATTGAAGTGCAGCGAATTGTGTCCATCGTTGCTAGGTGATTTGCATAACGCATCCCTTATAAATAAACAGTAGTTTACATGGAAGTCACTGAAGTTACAGGTGATGGTAAAAAAAAAAAAAAAAATGGGACCGCACAATAAGCTCTGGCCATCTTGGAAAGTCACAATGCAAAATAATAGTTACTTTCATAACGCAACTCTCTCCTCACCTG